CCCCAAAACCCCAAAACCCCAAAACCCCAAAACCCCAAAACCCCTTTTATGCCTACCAAATTGATAAAATAACTAAACTCCAAAATATAATAATCACAAATAATCAAAGCTGTGATCATAGTAAAATTTGGATATGAAATAAAGATTCAGTTCTGAATGTTTTAACACAGGGAATTTACTTATTTTCTGTATTCAGAATCGTCATAGACGGCTTGGGAGTTTTCTTGGTTGATACCACAGACACCCATTCCTTCTCCTCTTCTGATTCTGACAAATCCATTTTCTCCCCAGCCGGCTCCCCAAGAGTTCTTGACAATCCAAGCATCTTCATCAGCGTCGTATCCAACGAGAGTGACTCCGTGATCGAGGTCAGTTCCGCAATCGATTCCATGAGACTCGTCATCATCGATAATTCCTCCAGAGTAGTGTCTGAATGGATCATTCTCGGCTCTAATGGCAACAGAGACTACATTGTGGGTCAAAGCTTCATAGAGGCATTCCCATGTAATATCAACTCTGTAACCCCACTCAAGGAGAGGGTAGTCAGATGGAATTTTGTCTTCGCTACATTTTCCTGGCTTAGCGTTCTTTGGGTATGGGTAGTCTTCTTCAGTTCTGGGGCTGTTCCTCATCCAGTGGTTAAATCCATTGAACATCAAACCTCCACTACATCCATGAGAGAACTTGTCGCACTCAACGAGTTGGGACTCAGAGAAACTGACGAGGTCTCCAGTGGTCTTAGCATAAGCTCCCTCCAATGATCCAACAGCAGCGAAGGCCCAGCATGACCCACATGCACCTTGGTTCTTAACATCAGTGACGATGCCTTCGTCTCTCCAGTCAATGCTCTTTCTAGGAAGGTTCTTGCAGTTGGTTGGGAGATCTCCGAGGTTTCTGAATTCTTGTGGAGTATTTCTGTTTGACTTATAACCGAGCATTCTCTTGTACTCTTCGTCAGTCCAGTCAGTGAAAGCGTTGGTACCCATGGTGAATGAGACACCTTTAGCGTTGTGCTCATTGATAGTTTTGAGGTTAGCTTCGAAGATGTTCTTTCTGAAGTTGTACTCTTCTTCGCTCTGGTAGTTCTTGTTGAACTCGGTAGTATAAGCTCCGAAAGCTAATTCAACCTCATCAACAGATGATCCGCTCATGGCAAAGTATACACCAGTCATCAAACCGGCGGCTATCAGGATAGATAAGACCTTCATGTTTTTAATAATTATATAATTTTTCTATTCTTTTTTTAATATAAGGGGTTTTGGGGTTTTGGGGTTTTGGGGTTTTGGGG